CTTGTTAACCTTTTTAGAGACTTTCGGGCCTGTGCTACTGAGGAGGAGTCTGGTTTTCTTACACCGACTTCCTTGTGTTTGAAAGCAGTGTCTTGTGAGCTTCCAGCACACACTGGAAAACAGTCCCCTTCTCTATTTGCCCCAAAAGTTTCTGTAAGACTGGTATTTTACAATTACATTTTAATAGTAATGTGCATGAACCATATGAGCCCTCAATTTCTATGTAGAAATGCATTGTTTACAAACCCCATTCCTTAATGGATACACAGATGCAGGTTTCCAGTGACACCCACTTCAGTTTTGAGTTTTTAAGCATTTACCTGCCCTCTCAGTTGCTAACATCACTGTCATGCTGCTATAGCTCCTCCTCTTCAGGAACAGTGTCTCTGACACTGACAAAAAGCATTGTAATCATCCCCACCTTCCCAAATGCCTTAATCATGGAGACCCATATGACAGCGCTCATATATCTAGAGGTCCTGCCCCCACTGTGAGGCCAGGAGGTGGCCCTGCCAGAGAAGCAGGCCTGTGGGATCCCTGCTCTTGTTGGAGGAGAATCACATCTGGGGTGGAGAAAAATGCTTCGAGGCTTGGAGAACAACAGATGCATTCTGCTTCAGAGAGGACAGGAGTCCACACCTTCACTTGGAGAGAGGGAATTTCCCACAAGGGGGCCGGCAGAGCAGGTGTCAGCTGGCTCGGCTGTGGGCAGGTTTGGGGTGCCTGAGCCCCTCATTCTGTATCCCCGCTCTGTGCCCTGGACCTTGGGCTCAGGTGCTCTTTGCCTGCGCTGCAAGCAGCAGTAGACAGCGGTTCCCTTGGTCCACACCGCCTGCCTCCCTCTGCAGGGAATGGGGAGCTCCTCTGCTAGTTGTCCTTTTAGGTTTCTGTCAGGTGCTTTCTCTTGACAACACGAACACAACCAGCATTCTGAGGGGAAAGAGGAAGGCAGGTGTGTTTAGCCACATTGGTGCAGGCCCGGGGTGGCATTTTTCAGAGCAGGAAGGCAACATTACTGTTGTGTCCTGCAAAAGGTCTGGCATGGTCTACTGTCCACCCACCGTACTTTCAGCTCACTCACTGAAAGAAATCTCAGCTAACCTTAGATTTCCCTGGTCCGTGTTAGGTCTGGTCCTTAGAGGAAGAGAGAATGCCGTCAGAGTCTCCCACTGAATACGACCCTATGCAGTGCCACGCTCATGCCCGTCACCAAGGGCACCTGAGGTTCAGCTCTTCAGTCTTTGTGTGTTGGAACTAATTCCAGGATGAGAGTTGTTTTGACTTTTCAAGCTGTGTTGAGTTCTTGCACAGTCAAGGATTTTTGGAAGAAGCTTCTATTTTATTTGGCTCACAACCCCTCCCTTCTTGGGAAAGGAAAAATACTGATTTAATGCTCCTTGGCATCTGCAGTGGGTATTTGTGTAAGGAGAACGGTGCCTGATTCTATCTACCAGGGCTCAGGAAGCAGCTAAAGAGATGAGGCAGGCGCTTTGAATTCTTGGACAAGAACCACAGCAATGCTGGGTCAACAGCACTTTAAAACAATCTGTCTTTTTAAAGCAAAGCTATGAACTTTAAAATCAGAACATGCAATTGAGAGACAAAGGCGACTATGTCTCTCATTTAGGGCATTTGTTCCATTTACAGCTAAGGTAAGTGACAATGTGTTTGTTACAGGTGCACATTTGCAGTGTGTGATGTTTACGTTGCTTGTGTGGAATTGGTGTGGGACATCACACGTCTTCATTCCTCTTTTCACCCTCTCTCCCTCCCCTACCACGTCCTCCCACCATCTCTTGATCCCCTTCCCGTTTGAGAAAGATCTGTCTCTTTACCTACTACCTGTCTTTTATTTTGCCCTTTATTTATAATTCGTGTTTCTCATATAAGAAAGACCATGTGGTATTTAAGCTTGTGTGCCTGATTTATTTCCCTTGACCTGTTTCGTTTTACTCCTCCCAGCCTGGTGTCCATTTTCTAACTGTTCCTCTGTTTTTTGTTTCTCTTTTTCTTTCCTCCTTTGCACAATTTACACAACTGCAATTGCTTTTGCATTTAATTTTCTACTTCAATAGTTTAGCTGCCTCTTTGGGTGGGATGGTAGCCAGAGAGGTCCCCTCAACCATGCTCACAGCCTAATCCCAGGAGTCTGTGAATGTCACTCAGCAAGTCAAAGGGACTCTGTCTACGTGTCTAAAATAAGGGTCTCAGTTAGGAAGATGGTCCCAGATGATGCTGGTGGGGGCAGTGTGATCCCAGGTCCTGCAGAGATGGAAGGAGAAGGCAGCAGAGTGAGAGGAAGAGACATGAAGAGGGAACCAGGCTCAGAGGGAGGGGGCTATATGCCAAGGGCCATGGCATCTGTGGGGACAGGAAAATCCCCCAGTGATGAAAAACTCTGCAAGTCCCATCAGGACTTTCCTGAAGTAATGCTTGACTCTGAGGGTTAGTGAGAGTGAAGGGTCAGAAACCTGGGCCACCTCGTGTAGAAACCGGGCTTCCCCGTGTTTCAGGTCAGAGCACCCAGGGTTCCTGGCTCCCAGGCTGGGGTCCTGCTGCTCCTCAGGCCGGATCTGTTCTCTGTGTTTCCCCAGCCATGGTGCCCTCTGCCAGCCTTTGGATGGCCTTGACCTTCACAGACTTGGAAGGGGTTCTCTTCATCCCTACCCTGCCCTGCCCCTCCCCAACCTTAGTTTCCCTTAGGGGAAATACAGGATGATCTGCAGGGAGTTTCTCAATCTAGTCACCACACCTGAGCCTCCATAGCTGAGCGCCTGAAAGGCCTTTGATACCCTTTTCTCAGCAACTCCCGCCACCCCACACAGTGCTGGCTGACTGAGGAGAGACTCTGCTTGCCGCCGTGGGCATCTCTGTCAACGTTCATTCTCTGTCCCTCATGCCTGGTATTCGTGGAGACCCATGATTGAAATTTTTCAGGTGAGTACAGTTCCACCCTGCTAAGTTCCATTCTCTCATGCCCACACAAGGGCAGTACTAAAAGGATAGCAATAGATAGACAGACAGACAGATAGATATAGCTATTGCAAAGGAGGGAGCAGCTATGCAGTTTTTTAAAAATCCTATGAGATGTTTGGTACTATGTAGAACTTAGTTCATTTAGGTTTGTTTTTAAGGTTTTACTTCAATTAAATTTTTATTCTGAAGTAATTGTAGGTTTATATGTAGTTGTAAGAAATAATACAGAGAGGTCCATAGCTTTATGTTTTACAGTAAAATTTGTAATCCATTTTGTGTTAATTTATATATAAAATAACACATTTAGGTTGAAGCTTTGTCTTTTGGGCTTGCTGTTGGTTAGTTTTTCTTTATGGATGTCCAACTGCTCCAGAACTACTTGTTGTAAAGATTGTTCTTTCTCCACTGTTGGTGAGAATGTAGACTGGTGCAACCACTGTGGAAATCAGTGTGGAGATTCCTCAAAAAACTAAAACTAGAAGTTTCATTTGACCAAGCTATTCCCCTTCTTGGGGTCTTCCTGAAAAGTTAAAACCACCATACCACAGCAATATATATGCACTTATATTTATAGCAGCTCAGTTTGTAATAGCTAAATCTTGGAAACAGCCCAAATGCCCATCAACCAAGGAATGGATAAAAAAAAGATGTGGTCTTTTTATACAATAGAGTACTACTCTGCCATTAAGAAAGATACACTTGAGACTTTTATAGGTAAATGGATGCACCTTGGGACCATACTCTTAAGTGAAATAAATCGGACGCATATGTTGAAATATCACATTGTCTCGCTGGTGTGAGAAACTGAAAGTGTGAACAAGGACCAAAATATATAATAGATGTTGTGAAATAGGACGAAAATGTTCAAATGGAAAGAGAACAAGGAAGGAGGGAGGATCAAAGAAAGGGAGAGAAAAGAAAAAAGAAGAAGAAAAAGATGGAAACAAAGCATTTGTAAATAGGATGGAGAGAAGGGTTGAGGGGAGGAGGGAGTTAGGGAAAAAAAGAAGAATCAAGATACAGCATGTTCAGGTATAAATTCCCTGTCATGAATGAATGCTATCATTATGTATATCTAAAATGTGCCAATAAAATTAATTTTAAAATGTTTTTGCACCTCTCTTAGAGATCAGTTGGTTATACCAGCAAAGGCATATGGTTTTAGAGAACTGGTATTTTTTCCTTTGAATGTTTGATGGGATTGATGGGCCTGCCTTAGTTTTTATTGGTGGGAGGCTATTAAATTATCGATCCAATTTATTCACTTACAGGTCAATTTATATACATTTTTCTGGAGTCTATTTGGTAAATTGTGATTTTTCTAGGAATTTGTCCATTACTGTCAGTTGTTAAATTTAATTAGCATCATGCTGTTCATGGTAATTATTCATAACCCTTTTGGTTTCCAGGTAGACAGTAGTGATTGTGAGCTGCATCTCCTACCCTTTCCTTGATATTTATCTGTCTAAACATTTAGTAATGTCAGTGCTCATCTCAAAGATGCAAATTTTTATTTAATTGAATTTTCTCTGTTATTCTATTTCTAGTCCACTGATTTATGCTTTACTCTTTATTATTTCTTTCCTTTTGTGTGCCTCCAGTTAATTTTTCTTTCCTTTCCCTCTCATGTTTTTAAAGTAAAACTTTAAGATTACTTATATGAAATCTTTTTTCCTGTCTAATATTTGAAGCTATAATTTCCATATAACACCACTTTAACTGCATCCCTTTAATTTTGACATGCTCTGTTTTAGATTTCATCAAGTTCAAAGTACTTTCTAATTTCTCTTGTAATTTCTTTTTTGGCATATAAATTATTCATAATTAGGATGCTAATTTCCAAATATTTATAGGTTTCCAAAATTTCCATCTGTTGTTGATCTCTATTTTTATGATGATCAAAGTACATATTTTGTATTATTTAAATTCTTTTGAATTTATTAAGACTTGTTTTGTGGCTAGCATATGGTCAATTCTGGACAGTACTTTATGCACGCTTGAGAAGACCATTTACTCTGTTGTTGCTGGGCTTAAGATTTTATAAATATCTATTGGGACAAGTCCCAGATGATGGTGTGTGCAAGTGTTCCATGTCCATATCTGTGTGGTTTCTGCTGCTATAACAAAATACTAGAAGCTGGATACTTTTAAAGAAGTTTATTTAGCTCACAGTGTGGGTGGTTGAAAGTTCAAGATAAAGCAACCTTGTCTGTCTATACTCTGATCTGCACTCTTGATATGCACTCTTGAAACCTAGCTCCACAAGACTAGCATGAGGCCTTCTGTGGGTAGTCCTCCCAGTGACCTACTACCTCATCCTACAGGTCACCTTTTAAAGGTCTCATAACTTTGCCACATTGAGGATGAGAACATTAACCTATGGGGGACACACTCAAATCACTCATATCACAGTAATATCTTTACTAATGTTATGCATAGTTTTTCTAGAAATTATTGAGAGTACTGGCACCTCCAACTATTACTGTTGATTTGTCTCTATCATTCTTCAATTCTCTCATTTTTTGCAAGGTTCAGTGCTTATGTGATAGTGCTTATATTACATCCTATACTGAACTGATCCTTCTAATAATATTAATGGGACTTCAAGGAAGATGGCAGATTGGTGAGCAGCAGAGAAACAACCTCTGTGATATTTGGAATCCAGACACTGAAATATAGCAATGTGAGGAAGAGAAGGAGGAGGGAAGTGGGTCCCTGGGAACTAGCAAGGATCTGAAGCAAGAATTAAAGCCTGCAGGGACAGCAAAGACAGGGGCCACAATACAGAAGAAAGAGGTGGCAACAACACTTTCTCCTTGAGCTCCAGCTCTCACCATAAGAGAGGGAGCACAAACCTGCAGAGGGATGGTGACTACTGGTGACCTCAGAGGGCTCCACAGAGAAATACACCAGTGGAATGGAGCTGTGGATGCCATGAACTGCAGTGGCTGGTTGAGATTGCCTGAGAATCATAAATAATTCTATAGGCCAGTGCCAAAGAACCAGGGGCTAGGCTAAATGGGCAGCAATTTCTTTTTCCCAATAAATCAAGTGATAGGATCTTGCATCAAACTCAAAACCCAAAGCCAGTTACACTTGGAAGACATCTCTGAGAAGTAGTCATTTCCTAAGGGCTCTCAATGCAAACAATAACAATACCTGCCATAAATAATTAACACGCATCAACACAGGTAATAAACTAAAAAAAATTAAGAAGACAGGGAAGCAAGATGCAACCCCAGACTTCCAGCTTGCCAAAGGCAAAGCCAGGGGACCATGAGGTGGAACAATTCAAAAGCCACATACCTGGACTCTCTGAAGCATTAACAGTGGAAACAAGAAAGCAAATGAATGAGGCTCTAGAAAAAAAATCAAATCAGAAATAATTACTCAGATAACTTCAGAGATGTTGACCATAATGAGGCCATGATTAGTGAAACTAGTGAGAAGATACAGATTTTTAAAAATATAAGAGGTTAGAAAAATGATAGAAATCATGAATACCCAACATAGGAAAGAAATGGAATGCATGAAACAGATTCAATCATATATCCAGGGATTAAAAATTCTACTGAAAGTATACACAGCAGGATGAACCAATGTGAGGACAAATCAGATCTAGAGGACAAGATTGCAATTAGTGATCATGAAAATAAAGATTTCTTAAAAATAGTAAGAGACCATGAAAAATCAATCCAACAACTGATAGATGATACAAAGAAGAATAACATAAGATTGATTGTAGTCATTGAAAAAGCAAGAGATAGCACAAATGACATAAAAAATCTGTTCTCAAAAGTAATGGCAGAAAATTCCCTAAGCATGGAAAAAAATTTGACATACATATAAGTGAGGCATATAGAACCCAAACTAACCATGATAAAAAGAAAATCTACTCCAATGCGTATATAGTCAGGATTGCAGAAATTCAACACAAGAGGAGAATATTAAAAGCTGCTAGAGAAAAGAAACAAATCAACTATAAAAGAAATCCCATCTGAATAAGAGCAAACTTTTCAGCACAGATCCTCAAGTCAAGGAGAGCTTGGAGTGACATATTTCCAGAAAACAAACCTAAAAGAAAACAACTACCATCCCAGATTGAAAAACTACCTTTCAAAATTAATGGGGAAATAAGATACTTCCATGACAAAGAACATCTGAAGAAATTCATGGCCATCAATCAGCACTCCAAAATGTTGTGAAGGACATTCTAGAAAGAAAGTATGGAGACTTCAACTACATAAACTTCAACAGAATGAGTCCACCAGGCAAGGCAAGTAATTAAGCAGAGGAGAAAGAAGTGTAACCAAACCGGAAAATAACATGCCAAGGTTAAGTCAGTACATATTGGTTTTAACCATTAATGTTAATGGTCTCAATTCACCAATCTAGAGCAACAGACTGGTAAAACAGATCAAGAAGCAAGATCCAACAATATTTTGCACACAAGAAATACATTTAACTCAATTAGAAATTCATAGACTAAAAGTCAAAAGAGGAGCAGCAATACTCTTTGCAACAGGAACTGGGGCAGGGGAGACCAACAGGGATAGCTATTCTATTTGCAAACAAAGTGGATTTCAAGCCAAGACTGATCAAGAGAGACAAGGAAGGTCACTACATCCCTGTTAAGGGAACAAGCCAAGAGGAAGAGATAACAATCATAAATATATATGCACTAAATATCAGTGCACCAAGCTATATAAAAGTATTAATGGACATGGAAAATCAAACAGGTACTAACACATTTATAATGGGGACCTCAATACCCCATTTTCACAAATAGACCAGTGCACTAGACAAAAAATTAACAAAGAAATACCAAAAGTGAATCAAATTTTTAACAAAAGCACTTAGTAGATATCTACAGAGTGTTCCACCCCCACAACATTAGAATACATTCTTCTCAGCTGCACATGGGATGTTCTTTAAATTAGAACATAAACACTAGCTCATAGAACATGCTTAAGTAAATGCAAAATAATTGAAATTATCCCATGCATATTATCAGACCATAGTGCAATGAAATTAGAACTCAGTGGCAAAAGAAAACACAAGAACTTCATAAACACATAGAAATTAAATAAACATAAACTCCTGAACAACTAATAGGTCACAGAGTAAATTAAAGAAAAAAATTAGACAGTTTCTACAATTAAATGATAATGCCTATGCAACATATCAGAGCTTATGGGATGCAATGAAAGCAGTCCTATGAGGGAAATTTATAGCAATAAATTCCCACACCAAAAAAAACAAATCAGAATGAGCTCAAATAAGTAACCTAATATTGAGCCTCAAGTTTCTAGCAAAAGAAAAGTCAAGCCTCTCTCACATGAGAGAGTCAATTATAAAGATCACAGCAGAAATTAATGCAAGGAAAGCTAAGAAAATAGAAAGAATCAATGAATCAAAGAATTGGTTTTTTGAAAGATTAAATAAAATTGACAAACCCTTTGCCAACCTTATCAAAAAAAGGAAAGAAAAAACTCAAAGTCATGCAATTAGGAATGAAAATGATAAAGTCACAATGAATCATGCAGAAATCCAGAAGATAATTAATACCTATGCTATGTTTTGTGTTTGGATGTTCCCCACAAAGCCTCATGCAGTCATGGATGGGCTTCTAGAGTTTATAATTGATTCATGGTCCAATGCTGGGATTATGGGTGTGAGTGCTACACCCTCCCTGGGGCAGGTATCTTGCATACAGTGTAAGGGAGGGAAAGGGGCTTGCTCTTTCCACTCCTCCCTTTTTCTCTTGCTGCTTATGCTGTTTTCCACCACCATGAACTGTTGCGCTCTGCCACAACACTCTGCCTTGGAGCCAGCTGAGTATGGACTGAATCCTCCACAAACTGTGAGCTAAATAAACCTTTCCTTCCTTAATTCTGGACATGAGGTATTTTTGTCTCAGCAATGAGAAAAAAGTAAGCAAGACAACCTACTTTAAGAACTTGTATTCTAATAACATGGAAAACACAGAAGAAATGAATAGATTCCTAGATACTATGAATTACCAAAGCTGAATCAAGAAGGTATAAAGATTCTAAGTAACCCAATATCAGTCAGTGAAATTGAAGATGTAATTAAAAACCCACCAACAAATAAAAGCCCAGGTTCTGATGCATTCACTGCTAAATTCTACAAGAAATTTAAAGATCTAATGCCACTACATCTCAAACTCTTTAATGAAATTGAAAGGGAGGCAATACTCTCAAACTCATTCCTGGAAGCAAGCATTACCCTGATACCAAAACCAAAGAAGGAGCTAACCAAAAATGAGAGCTACAAGTCAATTTCTCCAATGAACATAGATACAAAAATCCTCAATAAGATTCTGGCAAACAGAATGCAGCAAATTGTCAAAAAGATTATACACCATGACCAAGTAGGATTAATCCCAGTGATGCAGAGAGGGTTCAATACACACAAATCAATAAATATAATATGGCACATCAACAGAGCACAGGACAAAAATCACATTACCATCTCAAAACCTGCAGAAAAAGTATTTGACAAAGTCCAGCACACATCCATGATAAAAACTGTACAGAAAATTGGAATAGATGGTCTTTATCTCAATCTGATAAAAGCCATCTATGGCAAACCAATAGCTAACATCATACTAAATAGTCAGAAGCTGAAAGCTTCCATTGTAAAATCAGGAACAAGACAAGGACATCCAGTGTCATCATTCTTATTCAGTGTGGTTCTGGAAACATTAGCCAGAGCAATTAGACAAGAGAAAGAAATAAAATTAGCAAGAATAGGAAAAGAAGAAATTAAATTATCAACAGTTCCTTAAAAATCCATTAGCTAATCTTTGTCTTCTGATTAGAGTGCTTAATACATCCACATTTAATGTACTTATCACTATGGTAAGACTTACTCCTGCTCATTGGTTTTCTACGTCTGGCATGTTTTTTGCCCTCTGCCTCTCCATTACCACCTTCTCCTATGTTAATGGATATTTTCTAGGACACCCTTCTAGCTCCTTTTCTTTCTCATATTTTTAGAGTAAGTTTCTTGGTGTTTGCTCTAGTGATTAAAATTTTTATCTTACCTGGGAACAATCTAGTTTGGCATATTTCAATTTGTAATTCAATTTAATTTCTACTTTTATAGGAAAATTTCTACATTCCAAGACCATAAAATATTCTCATTATCTTCCATCATTTATGGTACTTCTCAGTTTTAACTCATCTGGAAATTTTTTTCTATTTTCTGAGGCAGGATTCTAACTTTCCTGCCAAATAAAAGGCCTGTTGCCCCAACCCCACTGGTTTACATGTCTGTTTGGGACTCGAGTTTGTTCCACTGATCTGTTTGTCTAGTCTCTTGCCAACAATTCCATGTTAACTAATATATCTGAGTCACGTAGGATGGTTTTGGCTGAATACACAAACATTTTACTCAAAGCTTAAACAATAGTAGTCTTATTGCCATGCACAAACCCAGGAGTAGTTGGACTGGAAGTTGCTTCCATGCTCACTGATGTGGATTTTTCCATTCTCTTTCCCGCTGTTCCTGAGATAATGACTTGTATTTTTCAGGGTTGACTCATGGTATTAAGATAGCTGCTGCAATTCCAGATATTGCATCCTTCTGAAAAGGTTTCCTGGAGAGAAGCCGACATTCTTTAGGACTACAGTGCCTGTGAATAACAGAAACCCAAAACACCAGGGGATTAAGTAAGAGAAACGTGTTGTTTATTTTTATGTGAAGTTTAACTCAGGCACTGCAGGGCTGGTATGTGACAGTAACTGATGTATTTTTCTGCCTTTCTGCTCTGCTACAGTTGAGCTTGAGATCCTGGTCGAAGATGGTGGCAACTGCATTGTGAGTTGCAGGCTATAGAAGGAGGAAATGAGAGGTCAGGGACATGCATATGCTGCTCTGAAGGACGTTCCTAAGAAGCTGGTGACAGTTCCAGTTGTGTTCCATCCACCAGAACTAAGTACATGGCCACAACTACTTCAGGGGATTGGGAGTCATTATCGTTCTTCTGTGTGATCTGGGAGCAGCTGAGAACAGGGATCTCATGCAGTGCAGTGCACCGCTTGGGTGCTAGAATGATTCTAGTCCTGTAAAGAGTGTCTCTTGCCTTACTCTCACTTTTCACACAAGGCGAGGATCTCCAGATACGTCCCTTTCATCTCCTTGGGCACAGCAGTGCTGAGTAAGGTTCCCCAGCTGCAATCGAGGCTGGAGGGAGAATCTGTCCTTACAGTCTCTGTCATGGGCAGGTGCCTAATAGCTAGATAAGCGAGGAAGTGGGTTTTTTTTTTAAAGCATCCAACAGCACCAGATACCATTATTTCTTTAATGTTAGCGTCTGATTGAAAAAAATGCTCATTTAAAAAAATTTGTGTCTTTTCTCTTTATGACTGACAGTGGAGTTTGCACAGCTTATGCAGTTCCACTCTGTCTATGCTTTCTCCCTGTTTGGTGGGTCCAACTCTGATTCTCATCTCCTGTGATACTGAGCTATTTAGGTCCCAGGGCTCCGACAGGTTAGACAAGGGACAGACTCCATGGAAGGTTGTGTTGCTCACCTGACCTGCACACTGTGAGGTCTAATTTTGCAGATGCTGGCAGTTTGAAAACCTTAAGAGACACAGCTCACCAAGCTGGCTCACTGGGGCCGGGGCTGGAAGCCAGGCTCATTATGGCACGCAGTTTGATTGGGTGTGTGTCTTGGGAGCTGCTGTTAGCCAAGCCTCATCATTAGGATCCTCAGGGTGTCCAGGGAGAGTTCTCAGGGGCCTTTCTTTGTCCAGCTCACAGTGTTTGATGAGCTCATTAGAAAACCTGTAACAAGGCGGGAGTTTCCAGACTGTTAACTGCAGAGGTGATTTGAAGGTAGAACCCAGGGGAGCAGCTACTTCAGGGATGAGAAAAATAAGCTCCCGCCCAAGGTACCAGGTGACTCATGTGACAGGGCTGGAACAGAAGGTGAGCGGTCCAGGGCAGCTTCTACGTGGAGATGGTGCTGGGTGTGTATCCCAGAACCTGTGCTGGGTCCCAGTTCAGCCAGGAGCAGCGAAGTCTCTAGATAGACACTGAGCATTGCAAAGCACTGTTAATATTTGACTCTTTCTGAGTACTCCTTATTCAACACAATTAATTAATTAGAAAGTTAAAGAAAATCTATAATAAAAGTTAAATACTTGGCTGACATCCGTGTCCTTTAATACACTGCTATTCAAATTAAAGCCTATCGATGTAAGCCCTGTTCAACTGCATGAGTTTCTTCTCGTCTCAGGCCTAAAACTCATCAAATAATACAAAAGATAGTGTGTGAAAAGTAAGAGATACACAATAATTAGGAAAACCAAGAAAGAATGTCATTGGCAAATGAGTAGTTTGAATTCTTCAGAAAGGAAACATCTGTGAAATAACCAGCGCGGTACCGCCCAAAAGGCTGAGTATACAGGGGGAGGTGTCTACAGAGGTACCCGTGGCTAGCTGTGGACAGAGAAAAGGCAGAGAGCAAATCAGAGCCGCCTTCCTGTGGCTAACTTGGCAACTGTTTTTAGACCGTGTAGAGGAGTCAGCCCGAATTTTCTCATGGTGCACGTGCCACTGTTTCCTTTTTAAAATTAGATTTTATTGGTACATTTTAGATATACAAAACGATCACATTCATCGTAGAGAATTTGTACCTGTACCTGATATAACTTGGTTTATTTCCCCATTCCCCTGTCCTCCCTTCAACCCCTCCTCTCCTCCCCATGAACAAAAGCTTTGTTTCTATGTTTTCCTTCTGTTTCTTGAGGGAAGAAAATTCTGAGACACTTTAAATGTGGATACAAAATATAACATGTATTAAAAATGAAGCTAGAAGAATGAGAATAAATGTGTAGCTTACAAATTCTGAAAGAGTAGAAGAAAAATTTTCAATTATTTGTACAAAAATTATTAAGAGGAAACTTAAGAAAAGCCATAAACAAAAAATACAAGAAAATACATGAGTCATGAATTTGAACATATTGAAAAAGTACGACTAAGTAAATATAAAAATGAAGCTATTCTATCAGAAAAAACAGGTCTCAAGGTAGTAAGAAAAAAATCCTATTTGATTTTTGATACTTTACAGGGAAGATATAGTTAAATTGACACAGGAAATTTGGAAAGAAAAGAATAGGACAAGATACAGGGAGAATTCTGTTTTTGACACTGGGGGAAACCACTTCAGAAAAACCTTCCTTGTGAACTATGAAGCAATTTACAATACTTTTTAAATCATCTGAAAACACTAGAATCTACTACGGCAGCGAGAGTATGGGGCTAATGTGGGGACACAGCTGAGGCAAAGGTAGGTGAGATGAAAGTTCCCTGGAGCTTCTTCCCTTGAGAACATTGTCAACTGCCAGAGCTGATGCCGAGACGCTGGGGTGATGAGTACTCATGGAGCTGGGAGGACAAATTTGGGCCCCGGTAGGAGCCGATTGGAGGCCAGTGTGCCGGAGAGAGCAGTAACATGGAAGCAGACGGAGTCCGTGGGGCCTTGCTCCAGCTCCTAGATTCCAGTCTCCTAGTTTCTGTTTTGATTCATGTGGTCAGGAGTTTCTGGTCTGACTCCCGCCTGGAAGCAAAAAAGTAATTCCTGTTGAAGTGAGCGCAGGGTGGTCAGCGTCCTCCGAGCCTCAAGTCATCCATGCATTTAAACATGTGCACTGTCTGTTAATTAATCAAAAGGAACCAGTAATTCAGGAAAGCAAGACAGAAAACATGGAGAAAAGTAGACATCAGGAGCACAGCCACAAAGATATCATAGGCTTTAATACAAGTATCAGTATGCTCAAGGAACTAATGGAACACTTGAGGAATTAATATTATGAACTAAGAAGTAAAAGAACTGCAATGGAAAAGTAAGTGGGAGGGCTTCATGACCAGCTTGATGTGGTTGAAGAGAGAATTAGTAAAGTAGAATGCTGACCAAAATATATTTAAGCATGAAATAACAAAAATAATTTTTATGATTTAAATATGAAGTATCCTCCAAAGACTCATAGAGTGAAGGCTTAATCCCTAGTGCAGAAGTTTTCAGAAGTGGGGCCTATAGAGGTGTTTGGGTCACATGACACTAACCTCATGGACAGATTTGTCCACTGATGAGTTATAGTTGAATGGGATATTAGGAGGTGGGCCTAGCTGGAGGACGCAGGTCACAGAGGTGTGTCTTTGAAGGGCATATCTGGTCCTCAGACCCTTGCTCCCTGGTCTTCCTCTGCTCTTTGCTGCCTGGTTGCCATGAGCTGGGCTGCTTTGCTCTCTCACACCCTTCCACATGATGTTTCTGTATCATCCTTAGTGGTGACACAAACCAGGGAGGGCATGTAACTCGCCCACCATCCCATGGCAAGTTGGGTCTCAAGATGAAACCTGGGAAGATCTTCATTTCTCATTCTATATTTTTAGTGCTGTTAAATTGGCTGTTTTGTTTATTTCTGGTTTTATGATTTTAAAGTCAGTGGATGGAATTGTGAATCATTACTTTATTATCCTTATGATTTTCTATATTAAAGTGCTATGGTTAAAAGTGAAAGTAATTATAGACAGTCCAGATAGTCAGTGACTTTGACTTTCTGTCTGGGAAACACTGCCTCCAACATCAGAGTACACACAAATGTAAATTCCAGGGAATTAGAATCCTGTTGAGAAGAGTTACACTTCCAAGGACTGAAAAGAGCGTGTCTCTCGCTTCCCTCCAGGGACCTGAGGGACTTCGGGGCCTTCCTGCCATCCTGCAGGAGAGGGAATTGGACAAGGTGGTGTCAGAGGACCCAGGAGAACCTGGGGTCCCAGTGCACTGCGGAGGCCCAGAGCCTCCCTAATTGGCCATCAGAGGCCAAGTCCCAGTGCTGTCAGGTGCAGAGAATCCTGTCCAGCAGTGACCTGAAGTGCAGATACCTCCTCATCATGCTGCCTGGCAGGGCAGGGAACAGGAGCAAAGTGAGGTGAGGGAACCCAGCCCACCCTCCGCCCCCAGGACCTACAACTCGCTGCAGCCAGGACCCCAGTGTGGACCTCTGCCACTGTCCACTTCACTGCACTGCCCAGCACCCAGCACTGACCTGTGACAGAGCCTGGGGGCTTCTGTGTCTGCCTCATCACCTTCAGCACAGACCAAGACTGGGAGCAGGGACCATGAGCACACAGGCTTCAGTGAGTTGAGCCCCATGGTGCTGACAGGGGCCAGTGTGTGGGCATGGTCAACACTGACAGGCAGGTCTAGCCCTCGCTTTTGTGGCTCAGTGTGGGGAGAAGTGGCCTGGGTACAGTGGAAAGGCGGGTTCTACTGCAGTCTGCTCCAGGTGTTGGCCATGCCGTGGTCACGCCCTCGCCTCCACTCTGAGTTTACAGTGTAGGCGTGGAGGCGGAGCCACTGCAGGCATGGAGAACTCAGCTCCTCCCACACTGCCCAGCACAGTGGTCCTCAGCCCAGGGTGTGGACCTGCTGCAGCCCGTCACCTACACAGCAGGTGCTGTGTGTATTTCTTGTTCTGAAATGAACGGTGAACTTGCTGTGCAGGGAGAAGTGCCCAGCACCCCTGAGGCACTGGCACAACCTTCCCAGTGGCCACAATGGGTGACCTGAGGCCCTGATGAGGCACTGTTCTGGGAAATAGCCATAGTGATAAAGCTGAGAACCTTCTGGGACTTGCAGATGGTTGGTGGGAAGATGGGCCACCCTGGTGACAGGGGTCCCTCCCTTGTGGGACAACAGGGTGGGTGGTTCAGAGATTGCCAGGGCAGGTGGATGGGGACCTGAGGGTAGCTGGACCTGGGGTGTCACCTGTCCAAAGCATGCAGGGCAGGCCTTGTCCCATACCTGTGCCACCCTCTGCATGCACTGCACTCAGCTGTTAGACCCGTGACCCAAAGGACAGTACCAGGGCGGCTCAGCCCCAACTGGGTCTGTCTGCTTCCACTCCAGGTGTCAGCCTACCTATGACCCCACCTGTCTTTCATCCTCGCCTTGGGCCTGAGTACCTGGGCTGTCACAGACCCTCACCTATGAGGTGTAGGCTGAGAGGACACAGGACACTTCTTTCTCCACATCAAACCGTCTCTTACCAAACCAAATTCAAGGAAGGAAAAAGACTTCCCTGACCAAGGCAAGTGTTATGGTTTGTGTTTGGGTGTCCCCCCAAAGCCTCATGCGGCCATGGGGCAGGCTATTAGAGTTGAATGATTGTGGGTGTGAGAGCTACACCCGCCCTGGGGTGGATAGTTTGCATATGTAAGGGAGAGGAAAAGGGTGCTTGAGGCCATTCATCCCCCATTCCACCCTGGTGTATGGTGGTTGCTTTGCTGTGTTCTGCCGCCATCAGCTGTAGCCCTCTGCCATGTGCCACTCTGCCTTGTAACTTGTCAAGTACAGACTGAAACCTCCACAAACCGTAAGCGAAATAAACCTTTCCTTCCTTACTTTCAGGTGTCAGGTATTTTTGTCCCAGCAATGAGAAAAAAGTGACCAAGACAGCAAGGAAAAAGATTTCTCTGGATAGCTAGCAAAACCCGGAAGGGAAGTTGCCACCAGCGGAGGCCCCTTGGGGGATTCAGGGATAGGGAAAGTCTTTATAGGAAGGGGAAAAAGGGGTGGTATGCATCAAAGAGTGGGTCAGCAGACCCTTCCAGGCACTCAGCAGCACTCCCAGAGATGTGATCACTGGCCGGAGGCCTGGTAGACAGAGGGTCCTCACAGCCATTTCCTGATTGACGAGTGAGGAGCTGAGGCCTGGGCAGTGTGGGATGAGACACTGCACAGTGGCGCTGCTGAGGAGCCTCTGTCAGGGGCAGCAGGGCAGCTGCTCTGTAACAGGCACGTGTAGAGATGGTGTCACCCCCAGAACACTGTCCTGGCACTGACAGCCACTCAGCTCTGGGTGTGTGCTTGCATTCCACAAGGCAAAGTTCCTTACGTAGGGAGGGCTCAGCACAAACTCATGGGTTAAGTAAATCGGAGGACATTTCCCCTTTCAAGGCACAGTGAGCTCATCTACAACGGGATGCAGCACGCAGCAGCCTCCAGGCCATGGACAGTGTGGCACTGATGGGTTCCTGTGCTCCATGGGATGTGTGATCATGGGACTGTGACCTTGTCCCTGTCCCTGCTTCCACTGTCCTCTCCGCTCTGCTCTTCCAGTTCAGGGCCATGACGACCCACAGAAATGGAAATCTCTCAATAGTGCCTTTGCGGGAGTTTGTGCTGGTGGGATTCAGGGGAGGTGTGGAGACACAGGCCCTACTGTTTGCTCTGTTCCTGGCCCTGTACATGGTGACCATTGTGGGCAACCTCACCATGATCATAGTCATCACCCTGGATGCCCGCCTGCACTCCCCCATGTACTTCTTTCTCAAGAACCTGTCCTTCCTGGACCTCTGCTACTCATCTGCCATCACCCCCAATGCGCTGGCCAACTTCTTCTCCTCCTCCAAGGTCATCAGCTTTGCTGGCTGTGCCACCCAGCTCTCCTTTTTCTCTCTACTGGTCACCACTGAGGGCCTTCTCCTGGGGGTAATGGCCTATGACCGCTTCATAGCCATCTGCAGCCCCCTGAGCTATGGCATAATCATGTGCACCACAAGATGTACCCGTCTGGTGATGGGCACCTACTGCGGAGGCTGCCTCAACTCCATTGTGCAGACCAGCCTCACGTTCCAGCTTCCCTTCTGCAGCTCCAACCGCATCAACCACTTCTTCTGTGACGTGCCGCCCCTGCTGCAGCTCGCCTGTGCCGATACGGCCCTCAATGAGCTGGTCATGTTCGGCATCTGTGGGCTCATTATCATGGGCACCACTCTTGTGGTCCTCATCTCCTATGGCTACATCACAGTGACCATCCTCAGGATGCGCTCGGGGTCAGGGAGGCAAAAGATCTTCTCCACCTGTGGCTCTCACATGACAGCCGTGTCCTTGTTCATCGGGACAGTGTTTGTCATGTATGCACAGCCAGGGGCAGTGGAGTCCATGGAGCAGGGCAAGGTGGTGTCCATCTTCTACACCCAGGTTATCCCGATGCTCAACCCCCTCATCTACAGTCTGAGGAACAAGGACGTGAAGGACGCCCTGCGGAGGCTGGGACAGAGACTGGCAGCCCTGTGAAGGGGTGGTTGGTGAAAGACAATGTCCTGGGGTAGGAACATGGCTCCAAGGAACCGCTGTGTGAGCTGAGAACATTTATTTCCTTCCTTTTCTTTCCTCTTTCTCTTCCTCTTTTCTGTTTTTCTTTTTCTAGCTTTCTTTCATCCACCGTTCATGCAGCATTTATTGAGAGCATATCATGAAGCAGATATTTACTAAGAGGAATCAGTCAGGATTTTTCCCTCCAGAAAGTGAATGGTCCAGTGATGGAGTGAGTCACTTTCTGTTGGGGTACAAGGCACAAATACCCATCTTCACTGACATTCAAAGAGATTTTCTCTATGAAAGGGAGTAGATATTTGTGCTTGGTGTATACTTCTGATCTAGTTTTGAAAAAATCAAAATCTCTAATTATATTCACATGCCCGTCCCACCTCCAGACCCGACCTGGATGGAAGGCTGGCTGTGTTCTCATGGCTTCTCATGACTGCTGTCAGGAAGCCCTCCTGCTTCCGATGTTCTTTCTTTTAGCTTATATTCCACATCATTGTCTGAAATACCTGTTTAAAACAACGATGTAATGCTATGCCCAAGCACTCCCCATGAGGAGTTGCTCCTCAGTGGCTGGATCTGACAAACAGTGACTCTCTCATGAGGGGGTAATCTGGGGTGAATGTGGTGGCAAGCACATATGTATGGTCAAATCACAAAGTCATGAATCCACATTTGGGGAGTCTGGCATTAAGGAAAAGGTGACTGACCCCACAATTACTTCCACGTATGCTTCACCCTCTTCCCTCCCATCTAACCCCTGACCAGACCTGACCACAGCTGCCCTGCTGCAGGGAACTGTCTATGGTGGGAGCACAACATTGGTCTTTGTTCTTGATGTCGTGGTCCATCATCTTCATGAGGCAAATCCACATGATTGTCTATAATAATATTTCCTTGACTTTTCTCCTGGTGTAAGACTGCAGCATAGGAAGACACCACCTGTTCCCCTCCTGAAGGACTTATGCACGGTTCTGGTTATCGTCTTCTAAACAGTGCTGCTACTACACCCTCTGGGGAATTCCCAGGAGTGTAACTGCTTGGTAGTGGGGTAGACATGAGTGTTTGGTGTAGCTGCCCAAACTTAATTTGAGTCACTTATGCTGACACTTCCTTTAATTTATATTTCCCTACTTGCTAGTGAGTGCTCATCTCTTTTCACATATTTAGTAGCCATTCAGGTGTCGCATTTAGGGTTGTTTTATGGTTTACATTTTTGGTAGTGTTCTCTGTCCTTTCCTGGTGAGAGTTGCTCACATGTCCTGGATACAAGCACTTTGTTGATTAGGTAATTTTCAAATATATCCTCTCTCCTTTGTAGCTTTTTTCCTGTTATTTATTGGTGTCTGGTGTCACTGTTCAGTTGAAGTTCTTACATTTAATTTTTAAGTTCATCAGTTTGTCTCCTTATGGTCAGTGAATTCTGTGCCATGCTAAGACAAATCTTTGCCTGCTCCAGTCACAGAGTCTCCCTTTGTCTTTAAGTGAAGTTGCTTATTGTTTCCGGTAGTCAACCACAATTCATTTGAAATAAATGTGTGTGATTGACTTGAAGTAATGTCAAGATCCATTTTCCTTTAGTTTTGTTTTCAGCCACGTGTCTGCCTATTGATCATTTGCAAAGGAAACTGCTTTCCACTAAGAACTATGTGAGGCGACCTTTCCATAATCAAGTGTGCTGTACATGTGGATCTGTTTCTAGACTCTATTTTTCCCACTAGATTATTTGTATAACCTGACAATGTGTCATGATATATTACTAAATTTAATAATTAGAATACAGTACATAAAAAGATAAAATCTAAAATAACCCAGGCACTCTCTCTGTCAAAATATAGAAACAATCATAACAATAAAACAGTTTAGAGTAAATACAAAAAAGATGTGCACTTTCCTAAACTATACAGGAAAAACATAAATTTTAAATGTTATTGGTGGGGATCAAAGGAGTCCTGAGTAAATACAACATCCCATGTTTATGAGTGACAAGGATTAACACCATAAATATTTTTACTTTGAAACTTAATTTGTAAACTCAGAGTTTTTCTACATGACCAGATTTTTCTAATGGTGAAGAAGCTGATTCTATAATTGTATGGACTATGACAAAAATATTCAAAGAACTTCTGAAAAGTGAGAGCACAGGGAAGGAACTTGTCCTGAGAAAATTAAAGACTCCTTTCAAAACTATAATAATCAAAACTTTTGCCAAATATCTATGAGAAATAGAACAAGGGTCTGACATGCTGAGGAAAACTTGAAAAGTTACTGAAACTCCACAATAATGAGGGTATGAAACTTTCAATGGTGTAGATTTAACACACTCCCAAAATGAGGAGGGACCGAGAAAACAGGGGTTCATAGGGTGCTGTTACTTTGAGAGATATTTAATCAGATAATTAAATAAAAAAGGAAGAACTGAATACCATGTAGTTGCTCACTGGGAACAGCCAAACCCTTAATAACTTACAACCAGAAGAGTCCAATGTTCTCCTCTCATGGAACACATGAATGAAGGCAGGGAAATACACAGAGATTTGGTGAGGAAAGTGGAGCAGGAAAGCCAAGGGCCAGGACAGATGTCCCTTGTCCCAGGAGCTCACTCTCGTGACAGTGCCCTCAGTAGGTGCTGGACTGCTCTGCTCCAGCTTTCTACTGTGCAGCGCATGTCTGATGCAAACCTTTCCACTGCATGCTGTGTCCTTCCCCCTTCTACAATATACCAGTCACTGGGGCCACACTCAGCAAGCTCAGTGCGACCTCATGCCAAGTCATTTGGCCACAAGATCCTATTTTGCAAATAAGGTCACATTTTGAGTTTCTATAGACTGATTCTTTTTAGGGGAGTGGCTCATGATTCTGCCAGTCCCATCATGTGCTTCAAAGGAATTATATTCACTAGTTGTGGATGCAATTTTTCTATACATGTCAATTAATTCCATGGCCAATATTTTTATTTACTTCTAAAATTTGGGTGTTAATTGTCTCTTTGCTCAGTTACAAAGAGAGCTGTGATAAAATTTTAGCTCTCGTGTTTAATTTATATCCCCTACTGATTTGGATGTGTTCATTTCATTTTAAAATCTATAATTCTGTTGTATGTATTTCACATATTTACTACATAAAAAAAAGTTTCACATCATTTGCTTGGCTTTAGTGTATTCATTCTAAAATGTCCCATTATAAATAAACCTTTTGATTGAATGCTTTATTTGCTTGATATTCATATAGCCATGCCACATTTCTTTTTCATAAAGCATACATACATACATGCTATAAATTACTCCTGTCATGTTTTAATATTTTTAGATTAAAAATAATCTCTTTTACATTTGATCTTGGATTTATATACCATGTTTACAATATTTTCTTGTAAGAAACATACTGAACTAAGTACAGTGCAACTTGAAGAGGATTCTGGTGGTTAGAGATGAGGTGTTCTAGCATTAGCAAGCATCATAACTATAATAGATTGACATACATGATGATGTTGTTTGAATGTGTGAATTTATACTAATATGAAAATATATATCCTCAAAGCTTCTCAGTGTTTTGAAAAGGTTTGTAAAAAGGAAAAATGAGCATTTATGTTGCTTTTTTTTCCCTTTTTTTTTTTGGTACCAGGTATTGAACTCAGGACCTTGAGCTTGCCAGGCAAGTTCTTGCGCTGCTGAGCCATATACCTGGCCCTCTTGCCTTTCTTATGTGAATGTACAACTAAGTACTTAGTGGATTGTAGATAAATGTTCTTTCTGTATCAAGTCTGAGTAGGACAGAAAACTCTTTCTCAAAAGCAGAGTAGCAGTTATCTGCCAAGTAAAACCTATTTTCAGAAAACCTCTGCTGCTGAGAAGGAATGAGGGCCTGGGACTGTCACACCAGTGCAACCCAAGTCTGGGACCTGCACGTGCCCTAAACTGCAAGGGGACACTGGATCAGATGGTCTACCATCAGCTGACATCAATGTCCACATCTGAGACTGGGGATAACTAGATACAAATCAACAACTGCCGGAAAACCCCAGACTACATAGTGCTCCTCAGGGGTAATTGAGGGGCAAACCTGACCAACAGAAAAGCTAGGGACACTAGTGGCCTTTGCTGTGCAGCCACTAAAGAGGGAAACTGGGCTTTCTGCATCTGGTAGCAAACATGACAAAACGAAGGACTAAAACACAATCCCAGAACTCCACCCCATGCAGAACAAGTCCAGGAGACATCGACATAGGAGAACTTGGTAAACACATGCCTGAAATA